GTCTAATTATATATATATATATATATATATATATATATATATATATATATATATATGATGTTATGAATTATGTCTCCCAAAAATGTGTTGTAAATCATAACCCCTGTAGTAGTTATAATCCCACTTGGGAATTGGTTTTGTTACATTAATGAGATGGTATGAGTATAGGGTTTGTCTTAAATCAATCTCTTTGGAGATATAAGAGAGATTAAATAAGCAAGCAAGCAGAGATGGGGGAAGATAGATGTCATGCCACATGAAGACTGCCAAGGAGCCAAGGAATAAAAGCTGAAAAGATAAGCCTTCCCCTAGAGGTGGTGCAGGAGCTCTGGTATCGTAGTGCCTAAGGCACTTGACTGCTAACCAGAAAGCTGGTGGTTCAAACCCACCAGCCACTCCTCGGAAGGTTAGGCTATCTACTTCCACAGCGATACTGCCTTGGAAACCCAAGGAGGGGTCACTATGAGTTGGGGCCAACTCAACGGCACATAACAACAACAGCAGAGGTGGTGCCCTAAATTTGGACTTTTAGCCCCCTAAACTGTGAGAAAATAAATTTCTATTTGTTAAAGCCAACCACCTGTGGCTCTATTTCTGTTATAGTAGAACTAGATAACTAAGACAGGTATGTTGTCCTTATTTCTAAAATATACTATCTTCTCTTGTCTATCTGAGAATATTATGATCTGTCTTTCTTTGGTTCCTTTTTACCTTTGTTTTTATCTATTCCTTTCTTGTTGGAGGGCTGGCTATTCCTATTAAGAATCAAGTCTTAAAAAGTTCATTGGAAGCTCTTTGTACATGCACATAATTATAGGGTAATTTTCATTGGTACCTCCAAATGCCTTTGGGACAATTTAGTTTCTCTAGATAATCCTCCAAACTCCTGCCTCTTGGTTCAAACCTAGCTAATAGCACTGGAGCGTCTATGTGTATTTCACTTAATCCTCATTTCTCATCTGGGTCCTCATCTCCTTATACACGATAGCCTTTAGTTTCTCCAGAGAATATGCCTTCTGTCTTTTATAGAACAGTCCAAAGACCCTAGATGTGTGGGGCAAAGAAAAATAACTACTCCCAAACTCCTTGCTTTCAGCTCACTCTGAAGTCCTACCTTCCATGGTACCAGGCAACCCCAGTTTCTGAGACCTTCAGGGCTCTACAGGGAGAAATGCCTTAGTTCTTGTTGGTACCTCCTTTAGCAGACATGAAATCTTCCTCTGTTCTGCAAGAAGATTTACCATTCCTCCATCCTGCTTCTGTCTTTGTAGACAGTAGATGGGATTGCAGGCTTTTCTTAATTACTCTGAAGGCAGTGTTTATGTATGTGTTCGTGTTTTTCTTATTATTGGGGGGTAAATTTCAAGAGAAGAGGAACAGTAATGCTTTTACTCCACTATCTTAAAACCACAAGTCTACATTATCTTTTAATCCTCATCTATTACTAGTGCCATCAGCAGAGCTGAGGTTCAGAGTGGTTAAGTTCTTTGCCCAAGGTCAGAGTTGGAAAGTGGCTGAGAATCCAGGTCTGGCCAAAGGCAAAACCTATGCTCTTTCTCTTACTCTCGTGGATCCTAATACTCTGAAGTCAAGTGAGGGTGGCAAACTATAGTCCACTCTAGGTCAATACCTGGAAGTATGAATTGAGGAAGTCCTTGGGAAAGATAAGGGCTCTTGCCTTTGTGAAAACTCCCATGTAACTAGTGTTTCTCAGACTCAATGAAGAATCTAGCTGTTCATCAAAAACATCAAGAAGAAACAAAAAATAGTGGAAGTAGGGTCCAGCCTTGGGAAACAAGGTTGTAGAACCCTGGAGAATCTTCAGATTTAGACCATAGAGTCAGGGAAAAGTAAGTCCTAAGAGAAACTGGAAGAGAAATTGGTTTCCAGGGATGGAGAAAGGCAAGTGAGTGAAATGTGCAGACAAATGAAATACACTTCCTAGCACTGAGCTTGGGAGCTCTGGTAGCATAGTAGCTAAGACACTTGCCTGCTAACCAGGAGGCTGGCGGTTCAAACCCACCAGCTACTCCTCGGAAGGAAGGTTGGGCAATCCTACTTCCGTAGTGATACTGCCTTGGAAACCCAAGGAGGGGTCGCTATGAATCGGGTTTGACTCAACGGCACATAACAACAACAACAACAACAGCACTGAGCTTAAGGCCATCTTGAGACATTGGTGACTTCCAGATCCCCAGCCTCTCACTGCTTTCAGGGGTAGGGTGTTTGATGTTCTCCAAAAACTGACTCTCAGAGGCCTCAGCCAGGATAGGGTGGAGCATCAAGGTGATTAATGGATTTGGTAATAGAAAACAAAACAAAACAAAATCCACTGCCATTGAGTTGATGCTGACTCATAGTGACCCTATAGAACAGAGTAGAACTGCCTCATAGGGTGTCCAAGGCTATAGATCTTCACAGAAGCAGACTGCCTCATCTCTCTCATGTGGAGTGGCTGGTGGGTTAGTATTGTTGACCTTTTAGTTAGCGGCCAAATGCTTTAACCCCTGTGGCACCAGAGTTCCTTGGTAATAGAGCAGGTTAGAACCAACAACACTGGCTCATCCTATACGTACACAGTTAATTTTTTAAGACCCAAAAGTAGGTCTTTACATTTACCCTCTGTGTAATTTCATCATGTTAAATATTGTCAAAGGATGGCAAATTGGTTTCATTTCATATATCAACTCTGATCAGTGATGGCTGCCTGAAGTGCCAACTGGAGAAAAATTCTGTGGCTTTGTCCAGACTCAGGGGAAAAAAATACCAAATAGTTGACTAGTGGTACCTGCCATGAGTGCAAAATATGAAAATTAAAGCCCATGTGCCATCATCAATTCAAACCACTGTTTTAGAGTCTATCTTCCTAGACCTGTGTCCTCCATAAATGTGATCAGAATGCTCTTAACCAAGACACTGTTAAACATTTTGAACAAGATAGATCCAAAGGACGGATAGTACCATGAGGTGCAGTCTTTGAGACTAATCTCCAGATTTGCATTGATGTACATTCTTTGGGGGAGCGCTGGTAGTGTAGTGCCTAAGGCACTTGACTACAAACCAGAAGGCTGGCAGTTCAAACCCACCAGCCGCTCCTTGGAAGGAAGATGAGGCAATCTACTTCCATAGAGATACTGCCTCAGAAACCCAAGGAGGGGTTGCTATGAGTCAGGTCCGTCTCAACGGCATATAACAACAACAACAACAACACACTCTTTGGATATAGCCTTTTATGCTTAGATTTATTTTTAAATTGTTTTCCAGTCCACATTTTTTCACATTGTATATAGAGACCTCCACCTGGGACAGGACAGAGAATCACGCATTCATTTTGTGTCCATTCCTGACATGAAACGCATGATCTGAGATGTTCAGAAGTAAATGGATCACAGAGAAAAAGAACAGATACACCCTCAATGTATAATCCCAGAGGCCCTGTATTCACATAGCAGCACTCTGAGAACTCTAGCCCATGGTCTCCTTTCATGTCCTGAGTAAATGAGGAAAAAGTGCAGTGAAAATTATGCAGAACATAACAAAAATAAACAAGCACACCCCATTTCAAGTAGCTCATATTTTTATCATAAAATACAAACCTTCTAACATTAAATCTTACTTCTATTTTACCAACAACAACAGAAACAAAAATCACTCATGTTAGCTAAATACAGGTGTATGTGGTTGAGCAAGTGAATATGAAGATGAAGGGTATGAATGCATGCATGGTCAGTGCTGTGTGTGAGGGTGTGTGTGTGTGTAAGTGTTGGTCAATAGATGAGTCTGGTCTTGCTGTTTTCTGTCGGTGACCTGGTCGGAACCTTGGCTTTCCAAACTTCATACCAAGCTGTTGCAGAATCCAGAATTCCAGAGCCCTTAGCCTTTGGGTCAGGGCTAATGAGGGAGAAGAAAAGGAATTCTAAAAATTTATGCCATTCCCACTGGAGGGAAAATAGGGGCTGTTCATCAGTGGCCCACCAGACGTTGAGCTGAACCTAGAAGAGAGAGAATGTGAATGCTATGATGAAATACCCTGATACTATCAGTGATATTAGAGAAAACTATATATTAATTTTTGTGGCTGTCAAAGAATATGAAGATCATGACAGGCTTGGAGGCTAAAAGCTTTAGCATAATGAAAAAAAGCTCTGGCTCTGGGAAAATAAAATGATATAATTAGAAGACAATAAAGAGCTTCTTCAACCACTTACTTAGAATGGGAAACCCCTGGGGTCTGTACGGATCATTTCTGTATCATCTGGGCTCTCACCAGAACCAGGACCATAGGGTAGGGGACTCCTCTGAGGACCTTTCATGAGTGTCTGTGCACTCTCTACCTGTTATAAAGTACCAGGTGTGTTCCTCAGAGATTGTACAACATCAGAAAACTCAGGGCCAGGCCCCAACATTGACCTTGGAGTCCAAACAATTCTAGGGCTCCTTCTCTACTTATCAGCACCAAGCTAAATCAGGCACTTTATTTCAATGCCAGACCAAGATATGAGCACTCACGCATCACTGAGAGACCTAGGTCTCTCCTAGACATTCGGGGAAGGAAGTGCCAAGAAGACTAAGGCCTCAGCCTCTAAGAGCAGAAGTATACACAGTTCTTCTTTTTCTCCCTGGCATACTCCTATCCATACTCCAAAATAGAGTTCAAAAGCCATCTCCTCTGTGAAGCCTTCCCTGACCTCTCCAGATGGAATTGGTTGCTCTTGCTTCTGGGTTACTATTTCAATTTCTCCACCCATCTGCTAGGATACTTTGAATGAATGAGAACAGAGCTCAGTATAAATCACAGCAGAGCAAATGGCTAGATTTAGTCTAATCCAGGGATTCTCAATCACTTTTCAGCTTGGCAGATGAGTAGTACAGAAGACATTCATATTCATGGCATCCTCCCAAGAATTGATAAAACCAAAAACAAGAGAGGGGAGTAAAAGCAATGGAAGCAAACCACCACATACATTTGTAGTGCCTTAGCTGTCAGTAGTGTCTGTCTCTTGCTGTGAGCTTCTGTGGACAAGCTAGGCTTTGGGTAATGTCTGATTCCCTTTTCATTAAAATAAGTTCAATGAGGGTAGAGCTATTGTCTGGACTGTTTATCATTTTAAACCCAGCACACAGACTAGGACTTGGCATGAGGTAAAACCAAAAAAACAAACTAGTTGTCATCAGGCTGGCTCAAAGTCATGGCAAACCCATGTGTGTCAGAGCAGAATTGTGTTTCATAGGGTTTTCAGGCTGATTTTTCAGAAATCGATCACCAGGCCTTTCCTCCAAGGTGCCCCCTGGGTGGACTCAAACCTCCAACCTTTCTGTTAACAAACATGGAGCATGAAGCAGATACCTAACAGACAATTAATTAATGTCAAGTGGTAACTCTGCCTCTTTTTCTCTCTTTCAAAAATCACACTGGAACCAGCACCACTGGTTCAGTGCACCACTGTGTTCAGTGCTCCTTGCACTCCACCCTACACTGCCCAGGATTCTTCTCTTACCACTCCTCCAGGAAGAACTTTCTTCTTTTGGCTTCCTACATCTTGCACTCCAATATTTTCTCCCAAATCACTAAATACTCCTTCTTAACTCTTTTTCTAACTTCACCATAACCAACCCCCACAACCTCTAAATGTTGGAAGCCCCAAGACTTTGAACTTCTTCTCTTCTCTACATATACTCACTCCTTGGGCAATCTCATTCCATCCCATAGCTTTAAATATCATCTATATGCTAATGGATCCCGTATTCATGTTAGTAGCCAAATCTCTCCCCGAAGCCCCAGAATTGTATATCTATCTACCTATCAACAGCCTCACTCATATATCTAACAAGCATCTCAAATTTCATATGCTCAAAACTTAAAACTCATGCTACTCAGCTTCCTGCTGTAGTCATCTTAGTATTTTGATCTTAGTATTTTGATCTTAGTATTGATTTTGATCTTAGTATTCTGGCATCACCGATTGCTCAGGTACAAGACACTAAGAATCATGATTAACTCCACTCTTTTCTTCATTGCACTCCTACTCCATCATCAAGTCTCAGCAATTTCATCAAGAGCATCTCAAATCTTTTCACTTGTCTCCTTCCCCAAGGTCACTGCCCTAGTCTAAGCCACCATCTCTTCCTTGGATAACTATAAATGCTTCCTGACCTGCTCCCCTGCACCCACTCTTACCCCTATAGTCCATTCTTCACACACGGGCCAGGGTGGTCTTTTTAAAATAAAAGAAAAAAACAAACAATGTGGTAGAAAACCAGAACCACCACCTGTCTATCTGGTTGTCATACTGTGGTGGCTTGAGTGTTCCTGTGATGCTGTAAGCTATGCCACTGGTATTTCAAATGTCATCAGGGTCAACCCATGTTAGCAGGTTCCAGTAGACCTTCTAGACTAAGACAAACTATGAAGAAAGGCCTAGTAATAGATTTCTTAAAAATTGGCCAATGGAAACCCTGTGGATTACACAGAATATTTCTGATACAGTGTTGGAAGATGAGCAAAATATGTTGGAAGGTACTCAGAAGACACAGTGGCTGTCACTATGGATGCAGGCATACCGACTATTATGAAGATGGTGGAGGACCATATAACATTGCTTTCTGTTGTACATAAGGTCACCATGAGTCTGAGTCATCTTGACAGCACCTTATTTGCTCTCCTGCATCAACTCTTATCACCATAGTTCATTCTTCATACATTGGCCAAGGTGATCTTTTTTAAATAGAAAACTAGACCATTCCTTCACCAGTTCAAAAGGTGTAATAGCTTCCCACTGTTGTTAAAGTAAATTGTAATGTCCTTGCCACACCTACCAGGCTCTACCTAGTCCATCCCTGGCTACCTCTCTGACTGACTTCAGTTCCACCCACTGTCTCCTTATCATTCTTTATACTCCAGCTACATGTTTCCATTTCTGCCTTTGTACTTCATATTTCTTCTGCCTATATGTGTGCATAGCTCATTCTCTCATTTCTTTTAGATCCTGGCTTAGAAGACATTTCTTAATTCTGTCTTCTCCTCAAACCAAACCAAACCCATGCCATCAAGTTGATACTAACTCATTATGACCCTAGAGAACAGAGGAGAGCTGCCATACGGTTTCAAGGCTGTAAATCTTTCCGGAAGCAGACTGCCTCATCTTTCTCCCATGGAGAAGTGGTAGATTTGAACTGCTGACCTTTTGGTTAGCAGCCAAATGCCTTAATCACTGCACCACCAGATCTCCTCTCTCCTCTTACCCTGCTAAATTTTCCTTCCAAGCAGCTGGTGTTGTTTGTTTGCTTGTTTATCTCCATTTTGTCTGTCTCTCCACCCAGAATGTAGATTCCTTGAGGGAAGGAAAAACTGTATCTGTCTTGTTCACCCTAGGATCCTTAATGCCTAGGACAGTGCCAGGCATAAAGAAGGTGCTCAGTAGATCGTTTTTAATTTAATGAATAATCTCTATTGAGGACACACACCTCTCTCCTTGCCTCACTTTCTTCATCTCCTCAGCCTCTCAGAGCACCTTTCCATCCTGCTGACCGCTGTCACCCTCAGCTGTTCAGTCCCGTCTCCACCCTCTCCAGGCTCTCCTGCACTTCTCGCACTGCTCCTTCCTCCATCTCCTGCTCACTCTCCCTCCTCTTCATGCCCTCTCTGTAGACATTCCCATAGGCCACCATCCAGCACTCTGCTTTCAATCTGCATTTCTCCTTGAGCCCAGAGTCACACCCTGGAACATGGGAAGTTTGCAGGCCAACAGGTAATTTGCCTTGATCCCTCTACTCTCCTTCCCTCTGCAGTCTCATCTACTTTCACCACCAGTGAGGTAATAAGCACCTCATAAGGACCCTATATAAGAAAGCACTCATACAGCCCCCACAGTCCCCTCCAGATTACTCTGTCTCTTGTCTCCTGTTTCTCTTCTCTCTGGTCAGTTCACTCTGACGTGTACAAATCTTCATTGGATCCCCAGGCCCAGCAGTCAATGGCCTTTGACAATCCTATCTCAAACTCCCTTTTCCAACGTTATTTTTTCACCATTTTCAGGGACAAGTCTAACACTTCAATTAGGGAGGGAAGAAGAAAAGAAATAAGGAAGAGAGAAAGGAGGGAAGGGAGAAGGAAGGGAGCAAGGGAGTAATGGGAAGAAGGGAGAAAATGGGAAAAAAAAAAAGAGAGAAAAAAGGGTTGTGAGTTTTATGTCCAAATAACACTATCGACCACCCTCTTGAAGATACTCAATACACCCTAGGAGTTTAAATGATCTGAAAATTTCAACAGTTAAGAAATCTATTTATCTTTGTTTCCCACAGTGTTCCCCAAACATATCTGATTATAGAAACCTCTTTCTAGCATATATCTTTTTTAACAAGACATTTTGGGAAACACTGATTGAAAGTTGGGGGAGACCCCGTTGACACTGCAGTCAAGGTCTGTGATGGGAAGCAGGAGGGAAAGAAACCAATGCCAGGGTGGGGGCTTGGCCCTGATCCTATAAACAGTCCTTCTCCAGCTGAGAGACTTTATTCACAGGAATGACACAGCATTGCCTCCTGGAGCTATTAGTTAAAGATTTGGTGGGTGGGGATGCACAACTATTTATTGTTACATTAAAACAAGCATGGATTTATTACTGAACAGCATGTAAAATGTGGACAGAATTGTCAACTACAAGGTGGAGTTTGCACTGGCTGTTTGCTTCTGAGCCTTCAGACCCTCCTGGAAAGTAGGAATCCCTCTCCTGTGCTATTTAGGGGACTTTGATGGAAAAGTGTGAGCAGCCCTGATAAGCAGTTGAAGGCCCTTCCACAGTGCTTGTCATGAAGTCAATGGGATGTTCGGGAGATTACCCTGGCAAGTAGCTCAAGGTGCAGCAAATGGAGGGAGGTTTTTAATAAGATTACCTGGTCCATGTCTTGTTGGAAACCAAGCAAATGGGTAAAGGCTCCAGTACTGCTCCTCCTACAGCATAGTGTGGCCATTTGGTAATGTCTGTGTGCTTGCATTTCTGCAACTAAACTGTAGGGTTTGAACCACCAGCCTTCTGGTTATCAGTCAAATGCCTTAGGCACTACACCACCAGAGCTCCCAAACTGTAGGGGCCAGCCCTAACTGGACATACAAAGGGGTCCCACTAAGGCCCTATGCCCTGCTCACCTCCATACAAGGCCTCTCCTAGGACTCTCCCCTCCCCAAGCCATGGAACACACATACCAAGAAAGCACCAACGAAGACCACCACGTTCCTCTCCCTTATCCAGTAGCTTTCTGGGTACTGGATGGGCTTCCAGTATGGGCTGAAGACTCACCCATATGCCTGGGGGTAGAGGTAGTGTGGCCCATCTCCTGCCATGGGAGAAGGGTCTCGGGGATTGGTGGACAGCTTTGGAGGAGTCCTCTGAGGGTACGGATAGTTGGACTGGACAAAAGGGATGTAGCTCAGCAGGGGGGTGTAGGAAGAGCGGAAAATCTGCTGTCCCATTTGTTGTGGGTTGTACGGCGTCACCTGCAAGTCAGAGGGAGAGAGGGGCTGGGTGAGTGGAGCCCTCTGCTTCCAAACATCACCATTCCTCATCCCTATCCCATACCTAACCCTCGGCCCCTGTGCCACCAGTCACTGGGGAGTACAGAAAAGGTAACATGATAGAAGGGAAAAAGCACAGGGCTCAATTTCTGGATATGAGCCTAGCAATTTACTTACTTTATCTGAGCCTCAGTTTCCTCATCTGTAAAATGGGCAAACACTATGTACATTGCATGAGAATTGAGTGGGCTGACATAAGTAAAGAGACTGGTATATGATAAGTAGCAAATAAATACTATTTCCATCCCTCTATTTTACCTTTCCCTCTGCCAATAATCACCCCCAAAACGCCTTGTTCATTTTTAAGGCTCTTATCATCTTCAAAAAGTGGGGAAACAATGGTTTCTATCTCAGGATCTCAGTAGAGTCCAAATCCAATGGAAACTTCTGAGAAGGTGAAATGGTCTAGATCTGCACTGCCCAATCCAATAGCCATTAACTATGTGTGGCTATTGAGCACTGGAAATGTGGCCAGTGCAACTAAGAAATGAAATTTTAGTTCTACTAAATTTTGATGGATGGATTTCTATTTAAAATTAAATAGCCACCCATGGCTAGTGGCTATTGTATTGTTGTAGTTGTTATGTGCCATCGTGTCAGACCTGTCTCATAGCGACCCCTCCTTGGGTTTCCGAGGCAGTATCACAACAGAAGTAGATTGCCCAACCTTCCTTCTGAGGGGCTACTGTATTAGATAAGATGACTCTAGGAGAAAGGGCAAAAAGCTGCAAGGGAGTTCAGCACAAACCCTAGAGAAATATAAGGGATCATTGAGGTCTGAGACTATCTCACTCAAACTTTCACTAAGAACTGGGATCCCTGCTATCATGATCCAACAAGGCAGGACCTCATCTGTCTTGTTTTCTGATATATCCCAGCTAGGACGGTGCTTAGCACATAGTAGCTGCTCAATACACATACATCAAAGGAATGAATGCAAGATAGAAAAAGAAAGAAAGGGAAGAAAGAAAATAAGGAGAAAAGAAGGGAAGGAGAGGAAAAGGAAGGTGGGAGGAATAGACCACCAACTATCTGCTTGCATACCTAAACTGATGGGGAGCTAGTTACATCATGAGAGCTCTATCCCACTATTGGTAGCTCCAAGTATCAGAAAGCCCTTCCTCATATGGAGCTGACCTCTATCCCCCTCTGCTGAGCAGAGTCAGTTAAAACTGAAGAAACTTCTGGATTCCCACTTTAATAGTAAGCGTTTGGGGTCAAAGCTGCTCAGGGATTAAACGTTCCAATAGCCTTTCCTTGCCCTTTTATCTTTATCTAATAAAAAATAACAAAAGTTAACACTTATTAAGTGTTTAGGGTATGCCTGGCCCTTGCTATGGATTCTCTCATTTAAACTCCAAACAGGCCTGTGAGGTAAGACTATTATTATTCCTATTTTACACATGAGGAAACTGAGGTTCAGAGAAGTTAGGTGACTTGCTTATTAACTGTTCCAAGTATCCAGGCTGTAATTGGAATTCCTGCAGCGTGAGCCCACAGCCTGTGACCAGCACCTCTGGGCTTGGTGCTCTCTGGAAGCCTGCATGCCCCTCTGATCCCTTCCACCTTTCTCCTAGTGGAGACATAGGGTCTATGAACATGGACACCTCACTCCCAACATGATAAGCTAAAAAACACATCAAGAGCTCACAGAGAGACCCAGGAAGGCCCTCCCAGGACAGACATCTGTCAGCGTGGCAGGCAGCATCTGCTTACATGTCTTCACAGTGTGCACTTGGGAGGAAATTGACATGTAAGAGAAGACGTAGGTCCTAGAGCTCATATAAGCTTCATTCAAAAATGTAACTGCCACTCCATGCAACTGACAAAAACCATAAAACAGAGCTTTGAATACTGATCTGGAACCATCTCAAAGATCAGTGATAAAACAATGCAAAGAACAGTGTGCCCAGAAAGCCACCATTTGTATGTATTTGTATGTTTCTATAAATAGATATGACAGGAAGGATAACTAAGAAACCAGTATCAGTGATTGCCTCTAAGTTTTTTTTTTTAACTATATTGTTATATTAATTTTTTCAAATATAGGCTTACACACATAACTGGCTAAAAGTATTGTCTTTAGAACAAGATGGGCAGTATCACTGTTCATGGTGTGGAGATGATGTGGCTGAGAATTTGTGAGCCAGACTGTCTCATCTTTACTTCATCTCAGGACACAAAGGGCTCCTAGTGCTGAAAAGCAGTCCTGGCCCAGATGATAAAGTAACCTACACTTACGGGCCCACCTTCCTCTCACAGGCTCCCCTGGGCGAGAGGAGAGGCAGAGGAGTGTGAGATTGAGTGTGTACACGCACATCCGAAGGAGCTCTGGTAGCATAGTGGCTAAAAGCACTTGACTGCTAACCAGAAGGCTGGCGGTTCAAACCCACCAGCCACTCCTCGGAAGGAAGGTTGGGCAATCCTACTTCCGTAGTGATACTGCCTCGGAAACCCAAGGAGGGGTCGCTATGAGTCGGGGCCGACTCGATGGCACATAACAACAACAACATACCCCATTCTAAGCTCTTTTCTCACTACCCCAGATACTCTCTCTGAATGAGCATCTGTGTGTGTATGTGTGTGTGCACATGCACATGCATCTTGGTAGTATGTATGTAGCTGTATGTTTATTTGTATCTGTCCGTGCATGTGTGTGGGTTTGTATTTTTGTCTCTGCGGCTTTATTTTTGTACTGCATTTTTCTGTATCTGGGATTTTGTTTTTGCTGTTAGCTGCAGTGGAGCCAGCCTCTGATTCATGGGATGTCATGCACAACTGAACCAAACACTGCTCGGTCCCATGCTATTCCCATGATCGGTTGCAGATTAGGCTGTTATGATCCATAGAGTTTTCATTGGCTGATTTTTAGAAGCAAATCCCCAGGCCTTTCTTTCTAGTCCTTCTTAGTCTGGAAGCTCTGCTGAAACATGTTGAATATCACAGTAACACACGGGCCTCCACTGACTGGTGGCTGAACATGAGATACATTGGCTGGGAATTGCCTCAGGGCTCCTACATGAAAAGTGGGAATTCTACCAATGAGCCATGCATATAAAAGGTAATAAAGTATGCTGATGGGAAACATGGGCCCTGAGGCCAGATCATCTGAGGTCAAACCCCAATTCCACCATTGTGCTATTGCCCAGCAGATACTCACCTCCCTCTCACCTGTGAGAGTAGGGTTGCTAGATTTAGCAAATGAAAATACAAGACAACAGTTAAATTTGAATTACTGATACACAAATAATTGTTTAGCATAAGTGTGTCCCATGAGAAATTTGAGACATCCTTATGCTAAAAATGTATTCGTTGTATTTGAGGTGTGCTTAAGAGGTACTGTGTGTTTTCACTTGCCCCTCTGTGCTCCTGCCACTCACCATGTGAAGAGCAAGAGCTGCGTGCCTTCAGCCTTGGCCCTGGAAGGTGAGACAGGAGAAGCAGGCCTGAACCTCACCCAAGAGTAGCCTGCAGCCACGCATCTATATTTGTGAATGGGAAATTAGTGTTTAGTGTTGAAAGTCCCTGAGATGCTGAGGTTGTTTGTTGCCACAACAAAAGCTAACTTTTATGTTAACTTTATGAACTTGGCAAGCTACTTAATGTTTCTATGCTCAATTTCCTCATCTGTATCTGACATCACAGGGTGATTGAGATGGTTAAATTTGTAAATGCAGGTGAAGTCCTTAGAGAAGTTCCTGAAACATAGTACAGGATCTGGAAACATTGGCTGTTATCATCATGTGTGGATGTTGGCTCTTGTCTTTGCATGTGTGATGGTATGTGTGCCCATACTCTGTGGTCAAATGTGGGACACAAAATATGGCTGGTGACCAGCTGGACTAAGACAAGAGGGCCAATGTCCCTCTGACACAATGGCCAACATGGAGCTGTGACTGAGGTGGGGAGTTACTGACTTACCTGTCGAGAGTAGCACCCCAGCTGGGGGTGCAGGGGCTGCTGATAGGGCATCCTCGTGCCTCTCTGTGGGTACAGGCCCTGGGGAGATAAGGGAGGGGGGCTCAATACCAGAGGCAAAGGGCTTCCAGCCACACAGCAGCCCCTCCTGGCTCAGCTTCTGATTCACACTCTGGATCACCAGACATGACCAGTCTGTCTCATCCTACTGTTGGCCTGACTTACCAAGGCTGGCTGTAATCAAGCCGAGAGGAACCCACCTTAGGCACCCAGAAAGCTCCTCTTCAACAGGACTCACAGCCTTTTTAGCAAGTGGTTAAGATAAGAACTTCAGGATCTGACTGCCTCTTGAATTGCAAATCTGCTATTTACTGACTGTGTGACCTTGGACTAGTCACTTCACCTGTCTGAGCTTCTTTTTCCTTAGCAGTAAAATTATGTGGGTTCAAGACTGTGAAGTCTCGAAGGTAATAAAGTCATGTTCATTGCCATCTACACACCCTTTCCCCAAGTCCCACTCCTGCTCTAAGATTCAAGGTGTCCATGAAAAGTCTGTGTGTGTGTGTTAGTCTGCAGCTATGCTTATTCAAGTAACTCTGCATGTGAGTTAGCATCTGTGTCTATGCAGCTGTATGCTTCTGTGTACAAAGGTCATCTGTGCAGCCAGGTGTATTAGAGTGGGTTTCTGCTGCTGTGTGCTCATGTGTACACACACCTGTGTATGTGCCCTATAATGAGGGTTTGTGTGAGAATAAATGAGTAAATGCATCTAAAGAGGTTAGAATAGTACATTAAAAATCACATAGTAAAGACTTGATAATGTTAAGTATTTTAGGTATGTTTATCATCTCTCACTGCCCCTTGACTTGTACAGGTCATCTGGTAGCTCAGCCAAATGGGAAGTGGAAATTTTACTCACAACTCTGTCCAGGGTGGCTCTAGGATGCTTTTGCACATGCACACACACATACACACACACATGAATCCAGCAGTGTGGGAGGGTCCATCACACATTCTGCTTCTATCTGACAATCCAGAGTGACCTCTAAGATATGGCTCAAAGCCCAGCATACTCTTAGCCCAGAATGTCTTCTCAGACGCGGCTATCACTCTGTGCTCAACTGTGCCAAGTATCAAACTGTTGACAGATGATACTATGCTTTTTCCCAGCCCATATAACCAAAACCCAATCAGTTGCCATGATGTTGATTTCAACTCACGATGACCCCATGTTTGTCAGAGTGAAACTGTGCTCCATAGGATTTTCAATAGCTGTGACTTTTCAGAAGTAGATCTCAAGGCCTTTCTTCCAAGGTGCCTTTGAGTGGATTTGATCCACCAACCTTTTGGTAAGTAGCCATGTGCTTAACCAGTTGGACCACCCAAACACTCCTTCACAGCCCATAGATTCTTCATAAAAGGCTCCAGAATCCATGATAAGGGGTTCGCACAGATGTCTCCAGAATCTAGAGACCTGCTTTCATCCCGGTCCTAAGAATGCTCACCCTTTCAGAGCCCTCCTTGCCCTCTTTTTCCATGCACTTGCCACTAAGTTTTTTCTGTGCTCTGCATACCCCTCTCTGAAACCAGGACATCTGCATCCTCTATTCTAAGCCCTGCAGCCTAGGGCAGCCACCAACCACTGTGAGCACAGCCTGGTCCCTGAGCCTCATCCCTGTGACACGAGTCTTGGCCTGAACATGAACAGAGAAGTCAAGCAGAAGGGGCTGCATTGCCTGTTCTTCCCCTGCATGTGAGCTCCTAGGACTCTCAGTACAGTGCCAGGTTGTACTCATTCCTTCCCATCTCTCCCCTAACCTGCACTGGCACTTAACTCTGCTTTCCACCGTCAACTTTCTCGCCCAAAGAACAGCAGCTGCCATCAACCCACCCTGCTTGTGCCAGGCCTGCCCCTAAAGTCTATGGAAATCAAAAGCTTCCACCCCTGCTCTGTCTGGAGGCAGATTTCCCAAAGAAGAGAATCTTCATATTCATCTGTATGAGCAATATTGTATGACTTTAAGAACATTTCTAGTTGTTAGAATTACAATTCTGTAAAATCACAAGCAAGAGTAAATAAACGCTAATTCTTTGCTTGCAGCCACGGCCTCTTCCCACACACCCTCCTTCTCTAATTGGGAACAGACTTCCTTGATGCCAAGAGGCCCTGGCGCCTTGGAATTTCCTCAGTGTTGAGGACTTTGTCTTCCACATCTCTGCATCCCTTGGAGTAAATTGGATTTGGGACTTCATCTTTATGCTAATGCCAAGCAAGGAAGAGACTAGGATAGACTGTTCCCTACTTCTTTGTCTCCTCAGCCTTGAGGTCTGTGGAGCTCCTTGACATTTTCCTAGGAAGCCTGTGGGTGAATAATAATAAAACAACAAACCAAAACCCATTGCCATTGAGTCAATTAAGACTCACAGCAACCCCCATAGGGTTTCCAAGGCTATAAATCTTTACAGAAGCAGACTGCCTCATCCTTCTCCTGCAGAGCAGCTGGTGGGTTCAAACCAGCGATCTTCTAGTTAGCAGCCCAAAGCATTAATGACAGGTCCACCAGAACTTCTTGCAAAATAATAAAAGCCAACATAATAAAATAATAACCCTGGGCTTTGGAGGCTGCTTTTCACTTGGGGGTGGCTCTATATTAAGGTCAGGGCCTGAGGTAAGTGGGCCCGGGCTACTTTTTGCCTGGAGGCAGCTCTATATTAAAGCCAGAGCCTGAGGTAGGGAGGCCCGGGGCTTGGAGGCTGCTTTTTGCCTGGGGAAGGCTCTATTTTAAGGCCGAGGCCTGAGGTAGGTGGGCCAGGGGCTTGAAGGCTGCTTTTCATTTAGGCATGGTTCTATATTAAGACCAGGAACTGAGGTAGGCGGGCCCAAGGCTTGGAGGCTGCTTTTCACTAGGGGGTGGCTCTACATTAAGGCTGGGGCATGAGGTAGGTGGGCCAGGGCTCAGGGGCTGCTTTTCACTTGCAGGCAGCTCTATTTTATGGCCGTTGACTGAAGTAGGCAGCTTCAAAGGGGTTAGGAACAACTAAGGGAGACAAACTTGTCTGTCAGTTTGTGGTCCTGTGATGGCTTACATGTTGCTATGAGGCTGTAGGCTATGACACCATATTGCAAAATGCCAGCAGGGTTAACCAGCGGAGCTTCTGGGCTAAGGCAGATTCAAAGAAGGAAGAGGCCATCCACATATCAAATAATTGGCCAGTGCAAACCTTGTGAATAGCAGTGAAACACTGTCTGATATATTACTGGAAAACTTTATGAATAGCTCTGAAACATTGTCCGATATAGTGCTGGAAAATGAACCCATCAGGTTGGAAGGCACTCAAAATTTGACTGGGGGAAACCTGACTCCTTAGAGTAGAGACAACTTTAACGATATGGATAGAGTAAAGCTTTCAGAACCTCCACTGGCTGATGTGACATGACTCAAAATGAGTAGAAACAGATGCAAACATCCATTAATAATTAGAACATGGAATGTACAAAGTATGAATCTAGGAAAATTAGAAATTGTCAGAAATGAAATGGAACACATAAAGATTGATATCCTAGGCATTAATTAGCTGAAATGGACCAGTTTTGGCCATTTTGAATCAGACAACCATATGATCTACTATGCCCAGAATGACAAGTTAAAGACGAATGGTGTGGCATTCATCATCACAAAGAGTGTTTCAAGATCTGTCCTAATGTACAATGCTGTCAGTGATAGGATAATATCCATACACCTACAAGGAAGACCAGTTAATACTACTATTATTCAAATTTACCACCAAAGCACCAACCACCAAAGCCAAAGATGAGGAAATTGAAGATTTCTACCAACCCATGTAAGGGTAGGCAGACAGGCCACACACCCAGATGCAGGAGGTGGGGGATGAGCCAGGGCCAAGACAGTGCCACAGGAACCCAGATAAGGGCAGTAAGATAGGCCACACACCCAGACATGGGAGATGGGAGAAGAGCCGGGACCGAGATAGAGTCATGGGAACCCATGTAAGGGCAAGCAGACATGCCACACACCCAGATGTGGGAGGCGGGGGATGGACCGGGTCTGAGACAGAGCCACAGGATCTAGGTAAGGGGAGGAAGACAGGCAAAACACCCAAGAGGCAGGAAGGGGGTGAAAAGCCAGGGACAATAGAGCCATGAGATCCAGGTAAGGGGAGGACGGAGAGGTTTCAAACAGCTAAGGAAGACAACCTTGTCTGTCAGTTTGTCATACTGTGCTGGCTTGCATGTTGCTTTGAGGCTTGAGGCTGTGCCACCAGTGTCTCAAATGCCAGCAGGTTACACATGGTGCACAGGTTTCAGCACAGCTTACAGGCTGAGATAGACTAGGAAGAAGGAAGAGTCCATCCACTTCTCAAAGAACTGGCCAGGGAAAGCCTTATGAATAGCAGAGAAACACTGTCTGATACATTACCGGGCAACTTTATGAATAGCCCAGAAACATTGTCTGATACAGTGCAGGAAGATGAGCCCCTTAGGTCGGAAGGCACTCAAAATACGAGTAGAACCAACCTTAATGATATAGATAAAGTAAATCTTTCACGACCTCCATTTCCTGACGTGGCACAATTCAAATTGAGGAGAAACAGCTGCAAATATCCATTAATAATCAGAACATGGAATATACAAAGTATGAATCTAGGAAAATTGGAAGTTGTCGAAAATAAAATGGAATGCATAAAAATTGATATCCTAGGCATTAATGAGCTGAAATGGACTGGTTTTGGCCATTTTGAATCAGACGACCATATGATCTATTATGCCAGGAATGACAGTTTGAAGAGGAACAGCATGGCATTCATCATCACAAAGGATGTTTCAAGATCTGTCCTGAAGTACAATGCTGTCAGTGATATGATAATATCCATGCTCCTACCAGGAAGACCAGTTAATACTATGATTATCCAAATTTATGCACCAATCACCAAAGCCAAAGATAAAGAAATTCAAGATTTTTGTCAACTTCTCTAATCTGAAATTGACCGAACATGCAATCAAGATGTGTTAATTATCACTGGTGATTGGAATGCAAAAGTGGGAAATAAACAAGAGTTAC